AGTGGCAAAAGAGCTGCTACGTGACTGGAGTTAATAGGGGAAACTGCGAAAACGCAAGTAAAACAAACTATTATCAGTTTAAACTAAAAGTTGGACTCGATATAGTGTTCCTTACAACTTATCAAAGATCCAGTGATCCATGGATATTGACATGCAGCCAAGAATCGTGTTTCCTGACATTTATATGTGCCTGATTTCGACGCCGGGGAAATAAATTAAGAAAATTTGCCTGTAAACGTTTTATATAAATACAATATAGATAGGTCTAAATCCGAGTGATCACTTACATTAATGTTATACTGTATATCATCATATCGTCCAGCCCTAAAACTTGTATAGTTTTTTGTCAGTGTTTATTTAAAAACATCCAATTATGCCGAATATAGTCTGTTCTGTAGCTTTTTGCAGTCTGTAAAAATATACAGTACCTCAGATTTCTGGTCAAATCTAGTTGTACAGTCAATCGCAAAGCTCTTTCCCGTTTTAGATGTGTTTTGTGTGTTTTTCACGGCATTCACGCTGAAAACAAATCCTGCCGCTCAGTCTTTTTGCCACTTGTGGGCGTGACCGCATTCACTCCGGCCGACGGTGACGTCATGCGCATACCCTCTATTGACCCTGTTCACGTTTCTGGGTTTCTCTGAAGTGGAAGGCGTCATTGTTGGGTAAACTTCTATAGTAGTGAATTAGAGACTACATTAAATATATTTGTTGTGTTCCCATTTGCTCAAATAGCAAAAGAAAAACGCCACAACAGCGTTTTCACAACTTTCACAAAGAGTAAAAAAAAATTAGATAGATTGATAATGGCAGACGGAAGAGAGAAAGATGTCAACTTTGTCACAGCCGGGGTATTAGAAACACCCTCACAGCAGCGTCAACTAGTTTTTGTGTAATATTATACAAATAAGTGTTATAGGCGTAATGATGTTTTATTATGACAGTATGTGGCAACATGTACGTTAAAAGTGCATCTTCTGCACTAAACGATGATATTCCGATATTCTATACTCTTACATGTATCTAACTCCACACTTACTCTCACACTACACAAGACTGTACATTTTGTTTGTACAGGTCCTTCTAAAAAAATTAGCATATTGTGATAAAGTTCATTATTTTCCATAATGTAATGATACAAATTAAACTTTCATATATTTTATATTCATTGCACACCAACTGAAATATTTCAGGTCTTTTATTGTTTTAATACTGATGATTTTGGCATACAGCTCATGAAAACCCAAAATTCCTGTCTCAAAAAATTAGCATATTTCATCCGACCAATAAAAGAAGTGTTTTTAATACAAAAAAAAAAGGTCAACCTTCAAATAATTATGTTCAGTTATGCACTCAATAGTCAATAGTCAATACTTGGTCGGGAATCCTTTTGCAGAAATGACTGCTTCAATGCGGCGTGGCATGGAGGCAATCAGCCTGTGGCACTGCTGAGGTGTTATGGAGGCCCAGGATGCTTCGATAGCGGCCTTAATCTCATCCAGAGTGTTGGGTCTTGCGTCTCTCAACTTTCTCTTCACAATGTCCCACAGATTCTCTATGGGGTTCAGGTCAGGAGAGTTGGCAGGCCAATTGAGCACAGTAATACCATGGTCAGTAAACCATTTACCAGTGGTTTTGGCACTGTGAGCAGGTGCCAGGTCGTGCTGAAAAATGAAATCTTCATCTCCATAAAGCTTTTCAGCAGATGGAAGCATGAAGTGCTCCAAAATCTCCTGATAGCTAGCTGCATTGACCCTGCCCTTGATAAAACACAGTGCACCAACACCAGCAGCTGACATGGCACCCCAGACCATCACTGACTGTGGGTACTTGACCCTTGACTTCAGGCATTTTGGCATTTCCTTCTCCCCAGTCTTCCTCCAGACTCTGGCACCTTGATTTCCGAATGACATGCAAAACTGAGCAACAGTCCAGTGCTGCTTCTCTGTAGCCCAGGTCAGGCGCTTCTGCCGCTGTTTCTGGTTCAAAAGTGGCTTGACCTGGGGAATGCGGCACCTGTAGCCCATTTCCTGCACACGCCTGTGCACGGTGGCTCTGGATGTTTCTACTCCAGACTCAGTCCACTGCTTCCGCAGGTCCCCCAAGGTCTGGAATCGGTCCTTCTCCACAATCTTCCTCAGGGTCCGGTCACCTCTTCTCCTTGTGCAGCGTTTTTTGCCACACTTTTTCCTTCCCACAGACTTCCCACTGAGGTGCCTTGATACAGCACTCTGGGAACAGCCTATTTGTTCAGAAATTTCTTTCTGTCTTACCCTCTTGCTTGAGGGTGTCAATGATGGCCTTCTGGACAGCAGTCAGGTCGGCAGTCTTACCCATGATTGCGGTTTTGAGTAATAAAACAGGCTGGAAGTTTTTAAAAGCCTAAGGAATCTTTTGCAGGTGTTTAGAGTTAATTCGTTGATTCAGATGATTAGGTTAATAGCTCGTTTAGAGACCCTTTTCATGATATGCTCATTTTTTTAGACAGGAATTTTGGGTTTTCATGAGCTGTATGCCAAAATCATCAGTATTAAAACAATAAAAGACCTGAAATATTTCAGTTGGTGTGCAATGAATCTAAAATATATGAAAGTTTAATTTTTATCATTACATTATGGAAAATAATGAACTTTATCACAATATGCTAATTTTTTGAGAAGGACCTGTATTTTGTATTTTCAAATTACAAATTACTTTTTTCACAGCAGTATTTTGTATTTTATTTAAAGGGATACTCCACCGTTTTTTCATATTAAACTATGTTAATATGTTTAACATAGTTTAACATATTAAACTATGTTAACATATTAAACACGACCAAATACATTATAGTTATCCACTTTACACGCTTAGAAAAGCGCAACGTTTTATTTTGTGTCACCATTCTTGGTCGCGTTACACTCTCGTGTAACTGTATTTAAATAGGGAAAACGTGGAGGTGTTTGGTCGCTTCTCTGCTTGGATCCTAATGAATGAACTGGGCTAAGTTAAGTGCTATCAAAGTGTCTCGCACGCCAGAGCGATTGAGTGCACGCACTGAGACGAGAGAGGTATGTATCAACTCATCTTAGTTAAGGGAATAACATAGTTTAATATGAAAAAAAAAAAACGGTGGAGTATCCCTTTAAATACATTTGATGAGTAAGTATTTATAATTTGTAATTAAATACTTTTTGATGTATTTGTGCCCATCTCTGCCTACTACATGTATATTAAAATCACCAACAATTAGGACTTTATCTGCAGCCAGTACTAACTCCGATAAAAAATCAGCAAATTCTTTGATAAAGTCTGTATGGTGCCCTGGTGGCCTGTATACAGTAGCTAGCACAAATGTCAAGCTTGATTTATCATTTACACTAGATTACACTAGTGTTACATTAAGCACCAACACTTCAAAATAATTATATTTGAAACTAGACCTCTCAGTAATTCTGAAGATATTACTATAGATTGCAGCAACACCTCCACCTTTGCCTTTCAGGCGTGGCTCGTTTTTATAACAGTAATCTTGGGGGGTGGACTCATTTAAAGTAATGTAATCGTCTGGTTTTAGCCAGGTTTCTGTCAAACACAACACGTCTAGGTTATAATCTGTAATCATATCATTAACAATAAGTGCTTTTGAAGTAAGGGATTGAATATTCAGCAACCCAATTTTATCATTTGTTCATCTGTATTATATCTATTTTTTTATTTGTTGAACATCAATTAAATATTTACCCTCAAATGGGTTTGGGAGTTTTTTGTATTTCCTAATTTGAGGAACAGACACAGTCTCTATATTATGAAATTTAGGTGAAAGAGTCTCTATGTGATGGGATTTATCTGACCTTAGTGACGTGAGACAGCTGGCAGACGGTCGGTTTAGCCAGTCTGTTTGCTTCCTGACTTGAGCCCCAAATCGTCATGTTTGAGCTCTAAGACTAAGTGCCATATTACTAGAGAGAAAAGCAGCACCATCCCAGGAGGGATGAATACCATCTCTTTTCAACAGGTCAGGTCTGCCCCAAAAACTTTTCCAATTGTCTATGAACCCTATATTATTTTGCGGACACCACTTAGACAGACAGCCATTGAGTGAGGACAGTCTACTAAGTATCTCATTGTAATGGGGTTCGTTGTTATGGGAAAAAGGAGGCGGGAACCGGCGAACATTCAACACTTTTAATAAATATAAATAAACCAATACAAAAATGAAAGTATGCCAGCAGCCCCTCGCGGACGACTGCTGGCCACACAAAACAGAAACACAACGTAAAATTAGGCCTGTTCCTCTCTCGATCTTCACTGTCGTCGCTCCTCCTTTATGCTTCCGCTCCTCCGTGAGAGACGCGAGACCGGTGCGTCTCACAGGTGTCGCTCATTACCACTCACGCCACCGGCCTCGCGCCGCTCTCACGCCACTCGGCCTCGTCCTGCTCGCCACACTCATCACTCCGGCAATCAGTCTCTTTGCGGGATCTCTTTTTAACAAGTTTATTTAGTCTCCCTCGCTGCGCGCGCCGCGTCTCTCTCGAAATTAATCATTTCAGGGTAAAAACACATCATACAGCTGATAATACTGTATATGTCGCTGCGTGTCAGCCATACACTCTCATCACACACATGCTCTCCCTGCTGGTTGGGGTCTCACTGTTTGATGAACACATTTGTTCTCGGCTCATTTTCTCTCACATATGAAGATTGTTAGCACTCAATATCACACATGCTCTGGTCTGAGAGCAATGGCATAGGTTTCAACAAAATATTTAATCCCTCAGAAAAGCTTTTTTCGCCAACCTTAAACACCAAAAGGAAACTATTTTCACAGAACTAATGTTTTAAAACTTTCGAAGAACAGTGCTATCGCTGAGTGGTACAGAAAATGCCAGAGGAATTTGCTCTTTTGTGTTTGCATGCATTTTGTTTAACAATACACCAGCGCAAAATCATGTTAGTGCTTTGGATGTGTATTAACTCAGTATTTCTCTTAATATCAGATATTTCTTTATTCACAGGAAAGGAGGAAAAGACAGACAGAAATTGAGAATAAGAAAAGACAACTAGAGGATGACCGACGACAGCTTCAGCACCTCAAGGTAAGACACTGATATCTGAGGCCAACATATTTGTCATGACTGCAGTTTATATTGATATAAAACCATAATTTAAAATGATAAACATTTTCTCAGGTTATGTAACCTGGTTTCCTGAGAAGGGAATGAGACGCTGCATCATGGCTTTGACGCTATGGGAATGCTTCTGCGTGACCAGTGTCTGAAGTACGTGTGAAAACACGGCAATCTTGATTGGCTGACGTGAGGACAGGTGACGTAGTGTAGCGCATCAGCAAGACCATAAAAGGGCCCTTACGCCACGGAATCCTCAGTGTGACAGCGTCTTGTTCCCTTCTCAAGGAACAGGGTTACATATGTAATTCGACGCTGTGTTATGAAGTTGACGCTATGGGAAAGTTAATACCAACGCCACCACACTGAGGGAAAGTGCCTGCCCATCAAGGTTGTGACACAGACATTTGTTGAGCAGAAAGGCTGGACCAACCCAGAAGGACATGTGATCCTGGGATTGAATCCATGTCCAGGATGTTAAATCTTATGAATGTGTGGCCGCAGCACAAACATCTTGCAAGGATGCACTCTAGGTTAGTGCCTTGGAAGATGCTTGGTGGAATGAGGAAGCCAATGAGAAAGGCGAACTCCTAACTTAGCATTTTTGCTGGCCATTCTGTCTAAAACTTTCGATAAAATAAAAACGATACGCTACATCACCTGGCCTCGCGTCAACCAATCAAGATGAGCATTTTTTCACACGTGCTTCAGACACTGGTCATGCAGAAGCGTTCCCATAGTGCCATGATGCAGCGTTGAGTTCCATTCTAAAGGTAACCCACTATAAAAATAAAATAGAAAGGCAAGTCAAAGGCCTACTACAGTATTGAAGATGAAGTGACAGTTTCCAGCTTCATTAAACTGTTTCACTCCTTCTAACCCATGTCTCTTTTATAGAAGCAAATTTCTGGCACATAAGAAAAAAAAATATGACCTACCAAGTCATAGTTATGAGATAAAAAAGTCATTATAATGACGTAAAAAGTCAAAATGATGAGATTGAGAATGATGACTTTGGTCAAATTTACTTTTTATTTTATAATTTACATTTTTTATCTCATAATTATGAGTTTGTGTAATAATTTTGCATTGGTCATAATTTAAACCTTTTATATAATAATTTTTTACATCATAACTTAAATACATAATTATGATTTTGTCATAATTTTCTACTTTTGTGTCATCATTTTGTCTTATGTCATCATTTAGTTTTTATGTTATAATTATGATTTTTTAAAGCATGTTGTTTTTTTATGTGCCAGAGAAATGTACTTCCATAGTCTTTGATTTCCCTTCGATCCATTATTCTTTATGCCAGCGGTCTTCAAACTTTTTCAGGCTAAGGCCCCCATGGAGCAGGGATCCCTGTTATAAGTGCTGCATTTTAAAGGGATAGTTCACCCAAAAATGAAGAATCTGTCAGTAATTACCCACCTTCATGTTGTTCCAACCCCGTAAGTCTTTCGTTTATCTTCGGAACACAAATTAAGATATTTTGATTAAATCTGAGAGCTAGATCTCTCCTCCATAGGCTTCAAAGGGATTGAAACTTGCCGACCCAGAAAAGTTACTAAAGACGTTGTTAAAATAGTCCAAGTGACTACAGTGGCTCAATCTTAAGTTTATCAAGCGACGAGAATACTTTTTGTGCGAAAACAAAACAAAAATAACGACTTTATTCAACTATTCATTTCCTTCTGTGTGGGCCTCTCATGTGAGTTCACGTAGTGTAACAGCGCAGCGCTTCTGTGTTGTACGTCACACGCATCACACACATGACCAGCGTCGGCCAATAGTGAGCCTACGTGTGATGTACAACACAGAAGCGCCTTGCTGTTACACTACGTGAACTCACGTCAGAGGCCCACACAGAAGGAAATGAATAGTTGAATAAAGTCGTTATTTTTGTTTTGTTTTTTGCACAAAAAGTATTCTCGTCGCTTGATAAACTTAAGATGGAGCCAGATTTTTGGGTGAACTATCCCTTTAAGTAGGGCTGGGAAAAAAATTGATTTGATTTAAAAATCGAGTTGGTAGGTCAATTCGATTCATATTTTCAAAAAAAAACGATTTTTTAAAAAAAAAATCTCCCCCCTTCAGTATAGCGTACATACATTTTGCATTCGCCAAATCTTCCTTCAGTTTCCGTAGCACGCTCCCTGCGGGACAGCACGCTCCCTGCGGCACAGTTCGGGAATGACAATCAATGCGATGCAACTCTCTCTAAGATGATTATTATACTTGATCTGTAGATAAAGGTCTATGGTTTCGCATAAAACAACTTTATATTGCTGGACTTTATTGCTGTGACTAAATCATGTAACGTTAACTTTCTACCGGGTGTCTGTTAGATCACAACACCAGAGTTGAGTCAGAGCACTATAATTGTTCTTCACGCGCACAGAAACTGAAATTTAAAACTGTTAAAAGAAAAGGCTCAATAAACGATTGCATAGATAGATACTGTATAATACACTACGCATCAATATGTATTTCCTTTGTGCTTTGAACTTTTCAATGCGGGCTCGAGGCGCTGCACGCTGTGACTCCGTGTTGCTTCAAGCGCATCATTCTGCGCTCGGGATGCGCATAAGCGCTTTGTGCCGCACTGTATTGGAGCCTTTCATATCATAATACTTTTGCGCAATGAAAGATTATTAATAGCCTTTTTTTTGTTCTGTCCTATCTATCATATGTTGCTGCCTCATTAAACAGCTGTGCTATACATTTAAAACATGTCTTAATTTTATAGTAGACTAGGCTATATAATAATTGATCTTTTTGTTTTTTGTTTTTTTGTTATCTTGTTTTTCATGAATGTATTTTACAACAATACAAAGAGCAATGTGTAACATTTTACCAGATTTAGTGCTCTTATGTGTTCCCCACTAAAGTTTTTTTCACTAAATGTTCAGATTTTATACAATTATTGTGCACTTGTGATTTTTCTAGTCTAAATTTTACTGCTGAATTATCCACTAATCTAGTTTATAATAGCATTTTTGTCATAGATTATGATCATATATTTTTTGGATTTGTTGTTTTTCTTTATAATGAAGTTGTCTGTATTAGGTAGATTGTGTTTAACACACAAAAGAGTGATTATCAGTTCAACACACAGAGTTATAGAAATTCTACTTGATTTAAAAAAAAATCTAATCGAATAGAAAATCGAGTTTTATATAAAAAAAATCACAGATTTTTTTAGGGAAAAAAATCGCCCAGCTCTACCTTTAAGATTGTCTGATGATATTAGTGTTGACTGGAGCACTGTGATTTGGTGCAGTCTGGGCCAAGTACACCCCGTCAGACACAAGAAGGAGAATTTGCCATGGGAGGTGATAAGACATCCTGTTTGTGGGAAGAGGGAAATGCTTCACTCTGCTAAATATATGGTGTATTGTCTCTGTGGCCCTCAGGTCAGGTGTACATGATTGTGAACTGTTGGAGGTCTTTTCCCCCCATTTCTGTTTATGCAGTAGTTTAGAATATACATTTTAATGTCTTTGGATATGTTTGTAATATAGCATGCTATCATACAAATACTACTTCTTTAACCCCCTGGGGTCGGCTATCGCGCCGGCGCGATTGTCTCGCTTTTTTTCTTATCAGTGCAAAAGAGACTCAAAATACTCGGTTGATTTTGATCTTATATATAAGTGTGATACATCATTAGATCCTGTTAAGTTTCTATTTTTTTTGTGGATACTCACAATAAAAACAAAGTGTTGTGCTTTTCACCAAATAAAGAAAAACAAACATGATGCGAGTTCTGCGTTCTCTCTGTCAGTGCAGTCCATTCTGAAACGCGTCCTAAGATTAACTGTAACTCCGCGATTACTTGTCACACAGGCACGAGAGATTTTTCTTTATGAAGCTTGTATTCTCTTCTTTTAAATGAAGTAATTTATATAAAAAACAAATATTCTCAGTTTATGCAATCTGTATGAAAAGAGAGTGCTGTCAGTATTTTTTCCCCAGCTCATTACACTTCATTACGCGTTAATCTGACACGCCCACGGAGGACGCGCGCTATTCAAACGCAAATGTCGAGGCAAGCCATGACAATGCCCACATCAGCCGTTCCACCGCGGCGGTATAATGTGTGGTGTATTTGCTGCCTTTTACCGCTAAGAGGCGCTACAATCATAGACTCTGAAAAGTGTTTGTTTATTCCGGTTTATTCTCTCTAATGCGTAATCTGCTGCCGCACCGCGCTGATTCAGAGCGATTGAAAGCTGGTAGCAGATGAATTCAACAAGTGAAACGTAGTTAAAATAATTCATAATCACAATACTGAAATTAGGCTACTGAAATGTAATTGAATAAATAATGAAAACATTTCAACATCAAGGCTACATCAATGAGGCTTTACAATTGTAACAGCGTACAGACGGTAGCTCAGTGATCAACGCAACAACACGAGCTTCGAGGAGCTTCAATAGACCCGAGATCGAATCTCAATGTAGCAGACATGTTGTTAACCGATGTTGGCCTACAGCGTTTATATTTTACCACCTTGATGCTTAAATAGGTAACTGTTTATAACTGTTTACTTATTTAAAGTCAATAGTTTTGTTTAATTATCATTACAACATAAATTTGCTACATTCCTGTAGAACCGCAGCCGCTGCACAAACGACAAAAACTGATGAAGGAAGATTGTCAGCCGATTGCATCAGAAAATGAAAATGAAGAAGCTCGTCTTTAGTCTGCTAAATTATTGTGTAATGTAAAAGAACACTAAAATTACTTAAGTTTGAAACCAAGTTCGAACATTTCAAGGTTTAAATAAAGTGTCGGGACAGTTTTTTTTTATTTAAAACAGGGTTGCATCGGGTTTAGAGTTTATTTCTTTTGCGATGCAAAATAAGAAACACTAGGCTAATCTTATTCTTGCGACATTTTAAATTTGTATTGCCAAAGAAATTACAGCTAAATTAAACAATTAAAACAGTACAAAACGAAAA